TCTTTATCCCCAGACAAGAATCGCCTCTAAATAAGTTCTCAAACCTGCCAAGAGGAGTGACTTTTACTTTGTTTTTTTGTTGATATATTAGAAATGTGGGAATCTATTTTATACAAACTGCAATATAAACAAGAATATGCATGCAATGTATATTAAAATAATTGCTAGACGATTGAAACAATGTCCATTCAATAGCACAAAAAGTTCTTCCTGTGTTAAAATAATGCAAAAGTTCATAAGTTCGAAAGAATAAGTGCTGCAAAAGGAGAAAACAAATTAAGAAATAAAAAAGTTTGTGCAATCGAAAGACGCCCGGATGTTGTCACAGCTTGAATTTGTAAATCTGGTGCTACTGAAGATGGTGTAATGACTGGTGTGTCTCCATTTAGTCATGTAGCATCCAGAAAGTCTACCTTCAGCTTGTCACGCAAATTTTGTTTTTGCATTGTTAACGCGTGTATTAAAACTTTTAAAATCTCTCCAGTATCTTGAATGGTCCTTTGTATGTGGCTGCAATGCATGTGCACTATTTCAAAGTCAGTGTTCAGGACATGTATATTTGAAATTTTCAAGCTGCTAGTAGTCCCGGAAAAAAACTTCTGAAGCTGTTGTCCTTTGATTTGTCCCTAAATGATTGGTAGTCCGTGCATGTGTCTTTAACAGAAAAGTAACAAAGTAACAACGGGACTTGGTATCAGTCGGATTTTTTTTAAGAAAAATTAGTTTCCACTGAATGCCAGTAGTAGAGACATGAAATACCAAACAGATGCTTGCCTAAAACAATATGATATAATTCAACTGCATGTGACAATATCAATTTAATTTTGCGAAATGGCGTCATAGCAAAAATCTCCACACACATGGTGGTTTAAATAAATATCCTGCAATGAAGGAAAATATCTCCGAAAAAATAACATGAATGAACAATAAAATCCTTGGGAAAGCTAGGTGAATAAATGTGAAAAAAATATTTGGATTAAATATCAACCAAATTTATGTCCTTAGTTAAGTAAGTAAAAGTAATGACACCAATTGGGTTAAAGAAGCGGGGCTTACAACCACGTGTTGTACGCCATCGTGGAAGGAGTAGGAGTACTGGGATAGGAGGCATGGACTTCTCTGAAGCGCGTCAAAATCAAACTCAATTTTTGAGAAAAGTGAGAATGACGGCGCTCATAATGAAAAATATTTACATTCAATGCCATAAAAATATATGAAACAGTTTCCTGTCATAAAATGTACATACAACAGCGTAATTGCTGTTAAAATCTGGCGTTAACGCAACTTAAAAATGCGTGTAACTAAAATTTGTCACTACTATGCCGAAAAGCAGTATATAAAAATGTGTGTCCGATACACTTGACCTATTTAATAATAGAAAGTGTCCACATTGGAAAAGATTTTCACACGTGGAAATCCTGGATATGTGCCTGTGGTAAGACAACCTGATTACCTGTTTTATGATTTGTATAAAAAAAAAAAAAATCACGCCGTCTTAGCCAAAACGGCAAGACTTTTCAGTTACGTTCAATAAAGGCACATTAAGCCGAATTAGACTTCGAGCTTTCATGACAATTTAGTGAACGTAACTGAGGAGTCTTGCCCCGATTTCATTGCTGCCAATGAGTTAATAAATGTTTTACATCAATGTTTACAAAAATGCAAACTGATTTATTCCTCTCAAAACTTTTATGAAAAACCTTAGTCTAATTCAGAGACATTGCTTTCATGTGAAAATAAGCCTTGTGGATCAACCGAAACAGCAGCAAAGATCTACAAAAAGTCCATAACGATCTCTATCATCCGGGCATCACGAGGATGATGCATGCGGTTCGAAGCCGGAATTTGCCTTTTTCAGTTGAGGACGTGGTTATCAAAATTACGCTCTAATTCTACAAACCTGGACCGGGAACCCTAGTAAAAGCTACACAGCCATTTTAGAGGCTAAGCCCTCTTCTATCTAAATCCCGAAACAAATATCTACTGTCATTGATGTAATGGGAAGAGACCTTTTTAGAAAGTTGAATATTAAGGTTTTATTCAACATAAAAAAAGCGTACATAGTTACCAGCTACATAGAAGATATGGACGAACGGACGCCAGAGAGGAAGAAAGAGGCATCCCATCGTTACACAAGATTACGTGACGTGAACCAACGCGAAATCACACAACAGTTCGTATGCAGATAAGTAGAAGGTATTAAATGAATGAATACAAAAGAATTATAAGTATATCACAACAATTGGCGAACTAGGCTCTGGGTTTTCATTACAGTGACAAAAAATTATATTATTAAAATTAGAACAAGACAACACATAAAAATTCGTTAGTCAGCTAGGAAGGTTGTATTTAACTTTGCTACAGTCAAACTCAAAAATGTTAAAATAGAGGCAAAAATGTCATGTGGAAAAAGTTGTTTTTATATTCAACATCTGCATGAACGGAGAAAATATTCACACGTAAATTACGCTAGTTAAAACGTCCAGAAATGGTAATTATTTGGCTTTCTAGCATGTTAGACAAATATGAGGTCTTTCAGTTGCTAAGACAATAATATCGTCCTATCAGCCCCAATATAGACAGTGATGAAACAAAAAACGTGTTAAAACTATATTTCGTTAATTGATACGTTGTTGTTAAATTAAGCGTTTGGCTGCGAGAGAAAGGAATAACGAGGATTAGAATTTGAACATCATTTATCGTTAATATACACAGTGTCGTACAGGTACGGGCAAAATAGGTGGAATGTCTGTTTCTGGTGTATTGTCCGGATATCGATCAGGGTTAAAAAGAGGAAAGCCGAGAGTTGACCTATTCTTTGTGCTAGCATGGTCGGTGTATATGTTGGTTATGTCGAGGTGACAGCGTTAGGTTGGCGAGGTGTTGTCGTGGAGTGAATCTGACTATGAATCTGACTATGATGATACGGGAGTGCGGGCGTGATTAGTTGGGAGAAGTCACGAATCTGACTTTGCCGATGCTAATTATGCCGAGGTGACGGCGATGGGTTGCCGAAGTGTTGTCAAGCTGAAGCCGGACAGCCGAGGTGACAAGTCGAACCTGGCAGCGGCAACAGACGCTGAGAATAGTGGTCATGTTGAGAGGCGGAGGTGACAGTAGCGACAACAGCAGCAGCGCTCTGCGAGCCAGCCGGTGACGCGCCGAGCCGCAACTGCCCTGGTCATTCTTTTAAGCAGGTCTGATAGCATTTCCTTTTCCAGCGGGAACGTTTGCGATTGGCCACTGCCAGAGCTCGCTTCGTAGACCGGATGTCATGTGTGGAGCCGATGCGCAGAAAACGATTTTTTTTATTTCGTTCTCTACTTTAGTAGCGTTCACATCCGGGCAGAATGCAGAATGAATCTGAAAGAGATTTAATTGCAACGGAGTATAACGTTGTGAATACCCATTTATACGAGTTTTGTGAAATAAATAAACATTTCATATTTGCTTACGTCTTCGAAGCGTGTTGTGGTCACCAATTAAACGAGAGCGAGGGAAAGAAATGTTTATCCTCCCAGTTTACGTTTCTCTTCTCGGTATTGTTATATCCGTGACATAACAACAACGTAGCTCACGGATTTGACGAAATGGAATGACTGAAAAGAAAAAGAACGTCAGACATGCATTGTTCTCAGATAAACTTTTACTGGCTGCTGCTGACCGCTCAACCTGACCGTGACACGTCTCTTCCCTGGCCTCCTGTTGACTGCTTGGTGTACTTCCCTGTGACCCCTTTTATGGCGTTTTTTTTTTATGGCTTAACAGGCTCGAAAAACGACGCGAGTATAATTAGGAGGGAAGCATTTTTATTGGTCGAAAAATAGAAACACTTTAAAATATTATTTTATTTTTCGACCGGAACATGCGTAAACGAAGATAATGGTCATTTTGTGAAGGAGCCTTGTCCCGTTCACATCCGGCTCTCGCTCTTGAGTATGTTAGTTTATTTGCCTGTAAATTAGCCGAGATATGTCTTATTTTATTTTATAACAGGAGGAACAGAAGGAAAGGTCTTTCATATAATTTGGAGATATTCCTGACAAAGAGAAGACGACACGTTTAAACGGGTCGGATTCATCTACGTCTAAAAATGAAATGGTATTATGTGCTTGTAAGATGGGAGGCAAATTTAGCTGATTTCTGATTTAGTTGCTATTCACGAACTGATAATTGACTCACGCTTTGGATCACTGTATGGAAGCGGTCGTCATATGACCACGGGACTTACCTTCCACCAAAGCGCTTTCTCCATCCTACAATATGGATGAATTATAAGAGTATGTGATTGTGCAAGTAATTATCAATAATACTCCAAAATTGTATTAAAAATGAGACAGATTTTGGTGGTACCTAATAAGTAATTAAATTAACTAAATGTTAGCAATAAAAATTGCCAACAATTAGTTAAAAATATTAGTTGATTATTAAATTACTTTAATTGCCTGACTTATATTTTAAATTAGTTACATATTCTAAATGAAAATATTATTTATTTCTCTTACAATTTTCTGACTACAAACCGAAGTTATCATTTTTCGAACCGGAGAGCCGAATTCGAATTCCAGCCGAATCCATTACATTCACTTATGAATCCCCTTCTTCTCCCTCCCCCAAGTTATGGGTAAATAGCAGGACAGACTGGGTTCTATAGCCTAGGATGGCAATTGGTCTACAGCAAAAAGAAATGGCAACATACTGCGGGAAAAATCTGCCCCGTCAGTCATGTATCGAAAGATACATGATCGCCTCCGCATGTATCACACATAGCACACAACTGACTGAAATACAAAATATTTGATTCCAAGACCTAAAAAACGTAAATAGACGAATAAATGAAAATTAATATTATTATAATAATAATAATAATAATAATAATAATAATAACCTTTCAAAATTGGCAAGAATTAATTAACAGAAAAGGGATTTTAATAATAAGCACCGGTAACTTCCGTTTTCGTAAAATAATTTTTCTCATCAAGTTTGCATACAGCTTAGCAATGTCGGAAAGAAAAGTTTTAAACGTAAGTAAATGAATATATTGTGTATAGTGTCTATATTATAAATAATTAGAAATTATTGGGTCTGAAATGACATAATATTTTTTTCTGTAAATTGTTGGTTATTTTCTGATTGCGGAATGGTTTCATTTTTTTTTTTAATTTATAATTTCTCACTTCTTTCATTGGGTTTGGCTTTAAACGAAGTCAACTTTATATTTTTTCTTTATACAATTTAAAATTTTCCTCCGTGAATTTATGAACCTAAAGCATCTCTTGATGCGTAAATTAAATTTATGAACAGTAACTTAGTTTTTAAAACCAGTTGTTTAACATCAGTATTCTGTTCATTTTTGTGCTTTCAAAAGTTGCAGAAATTTATTCAATTACTGTAACTTTTGAAAGCACAAATAAACAGAACACTGATGTGACATAGGTTTTAGGGTATTGTGGGTTTTAGCGTTTCAAACGTTTTTTGTTTGTTTGTTTGTTTTTTTCATGCCAGCACTGATTTATTTCCTTACACTAGTAGTCTAATACAGTAAACAAACACCTTTTTTTTTTAATTTACTTTCTTTAATTCTGAGATTAATTACTAACAAATATTGAACTATTTTAAATTTATTATTCACAAAGAAAATAGTTGAAATAAATAATATTTTGAATACACGCAATTCAAATTCACGTCCAATATAAGGGAGATAAATTTTGTATGTAAACATCGTTTCAAAATCAAATTTTAATAAACGACGATTTTTATGCCTACGGAATCAAAATACTAAGTAAATTTACCTCGTAGTACTTCAAAAAAAAAAGTGACAATTAATTAAGGTTTATAACAGGCATTTAAAAAAATGAAAAATCTTTCTTGAATCTGCTTTTAGTTTTAATTCCAAGCTATTACTAGGAAATGTATTTCCAATATAAACTGAAACACTAATAAACTTTGGTTTTGCTGTATTTCCAAACGAATAAATTGATTGGTAATATTTTTTTTGAAAATGGCTAAAATCGGCCATATTGACAAATCTGTCAACACAATTCTCTTTATTAAAAAAGAATTTTCAGAAATAAAATATTTTTCTAAAACTTATTTAAGGAAGATTAACCGATTTAATTCTGAAAAACAGATATTAGTTTACTGCAGAAAAGCATTTTTTAATACGGAAGTAGGTATTTTTATAAGGTATACCGTAGTAAACAGATTTATTGAGAGCTTATGTTTGGCAACTTCAAGTTAAAGGATACACAAAAATGTAAAAATTGCTTGAATACAACGTGAACATCTTTTTCAAAAACAAAATCTTTAAAATTTTAATTATTTCATTGACTTTTTTTGGCTTTAGACTGAATTACGAAGATGCTTGTTTAAGAAGTGTGACATTACCAATAAATTTTAATTTTTTATGGTTACTGGTTTTTTCTTTTCTTTTTGACTGATAATGTCGTGTATGGACCTCTGTAGTAACAAAAATCAGCACATTTATGCACACACTCATTTTTTTATTTTATGATTCAGAGCAGATATTCTGTAACTGGAGTTCCTGTTTAACTAAAAAAAAAAGATTTAAAGTCTTAGCTTTTTTCTTTATAAAACAGTAAGCACTACACAAACGAATTTCATTAAATAAATGAGGAGGTAACAGATGAAAAAAAATTTTTTCAAAAGATTTTTTAAAAATTTTAATTTCATTTATGAATAAGACTTGAAAGTTACATGACAATTATTTCCAAATCGGTGTTTTTCATTGCAAAAAGATATTTAAATTTCCCATACTAATTTATGCCCCCCCCCTTCACACCAGAAGAACAAAATATTTAACCAAAATTTTGAAGGTTCTAAAAAGGATTTTAAAAAATAAATTTTGCATCAAAAATCCTTTTGTCTATCCTCTTAATAACAAAGACTGATGATAAAACTTTTTTTAAAATTTTGTGCATTTTTTTTCATTATGTATATACATTTGCTAGCAAATCTAAATGGCATTATATTAGGTATTAATTCCATGATAGGTAGAGGTTAGGTACTTAAATTAAAAGCACAAAAATGGTTTACCTTTTATTTTTCAAAATCAAGGAATTATCAGATTTAAACAATTTTCAGCACTTCATTAATGAATAGCTTGTATACTGAACGGATTATTAGAAATCCTTTTTGAAATATTTGTTGTGGGGTCAGTTTCACCCAAATAAACTTCAATATATTGTGTATACTATTTTAATTGTGTGGGTATTTTGTGAATTTTTTACAGTTATATGAAGAAAATCCAGTGTTATGTTAAAAAGCATTATGCAATATCAAGTGTGAAAATACCAAAAATTCATCCTCTTGAATCTTGTGAAAATTCAGTTTTGGTGAGAGTCGATAATTGCATAATTTAATAAAATATTTTCTTTCAGTTTTAACAAGAAAAATCTCCACTGAATATTAATTTTCAAAAAATTTACTTGTAATTTTTCAGTGCAGTTTTGAAATTCATTCCATTGCAATTTGTAGCAAGACTATTATTATTATCACTGACTTCTTAAAAAAATTTTTTAAAAATGCATTTTAAATAATTTAAATGTCTTTGAAGTTTGGATTTATTTGAAAGATAGTAGCCTAGAGATAATCCGTCTGCAAAGAAAAATAAATTTGTCTATATTGTAATGAGTTGGTCAGTCAACTTGATACCCCCAAAGCGAGTAGAGGTGGGCAGGCATAGGAACTGTGATTGGTAGCTGGCTTGTTGGTGTTTTGCATAGGCGAGTTACCATGCTCTATGTAAAGAGCTGGAATGAGAAGGAGAGCAGTTTTGTCTTGGAAGTGGAGACTGTGCCCATTGTTACAACATCATTTATCTTTTTTTTTGTGATACATTTCAACACAAGCTATTTTGGCATTTACTTTGTCTCTAGCAAGATGGCGGAAAGACCATTCAACATAAGCCTGATCCCTGAATTCAATGGTAATACAAGTGGACAGTCTATGGTTGAATGGATCGAAACTGTGAAACTGGTCTGTGAATTATGCGAGATCACGAAGATTGAATGGATTCTTCCACTGCACTTGAAAGGCAGCGCCCTTGCTGTGTATAGGCAGCTGAGCAAAGAACAGAAAAGTGACATTGAGCAAATAAAGCGCGCTCTGCTAACCGCATTTGGAACTGATCAGTTCGTGGTCTATGACACAATTCCAGGCGCTGTACCGATTACACCACTTCCTGAAGAATGGATGACCTGTGCCTTCGTGTCTGGATTGCCTAGTCATGTTAAGCAGATATTCTGCGCATCATGTAAGACATGATGCTCAATCAATTGTTGACCAGAGCCTGTGCTATCATGATCGACGAAAAAGAGGCTGATGAACCAGTGGCCGCAGTCGTTCAACCAATTGAAGTCAAAGAGGATCTGACCCCAGCTATCCGTCACCATGGCAATGTCACCTGCTATCAGTGCTCTGGGCTGAATCATTTTGCCAAAGACTACCGCTATCAACACGAAGAAATGTGCAGCAGGTCGGCGCAAAATGCATGTCTTGATCTACGATGTTTCCAATGTCATAAAGTAGGTCACATTGCCTCTAACTCTCTGGGAAATGGAATGGGGGATGTGACATCAGCGCTAGTCTCTTCCTCGCACTGAGCATGAAAGAGGCGCTCACTGTGATTAAGGTGCACATCAATGGAATAACGTGTACTGCTTTAGTAGATTCGGGCTGCTCTCAGTCACTTAAGAACGGTTTGATTTGCCATCAGTGGAGCAGACAAAAGATGGACGTACTAACGGCCAATGAAAAGGCTCTCAGAAACCAGGGAGTTGGAAACATCAAACTCAGTATCAACAATGGTGACCCCGTCAGTGTGTTGGTCATGGACAGCGCATTATTAGGTTTTGATCTACTCCTTGGGATAGACATTATTAAGGAGCTCTGAAGGGGATTAACCTGTCACTCCAATGGCAAGCAACAGTGCTACACATCGTCACGGACTCAGCATGCACTCAGCGTTGGATATCAGATGCATTTACCAGAAGAGCGCAACTGACCACCAAGGCATCAAGCTAGATGTCGATACGAAGGCGGCTCACCATGCTGATTGAGACTATCGAAGAGTACAACCTGTCTGTGGATGTATTGTTAGTTAAATTGGAAGTCAACAGAGCAAATGCATTGACTCGTGTTCCACAGCATTGGTTGACTGCTGCTTGGAAAGAGTCTGAACCTCTGCAGTTTGAGTACTACTCATGTTTGGAACAGGCTGGGGATAGATGTTACACATGTTGGCAGCCAGCACTATTTGACTATTATTGACTGTGGACCCTCTCGCTTTGCCATTTGGCAACTACTGCATTGGCAGGACACTGCCAGCATAATACGTCAATTGGAGTCCATCTTTTATGACCGGGGACCACCTGCAGAAATATTGACAGATAATAGTGCGGCATTTTCCTCAGAGCAATTCTCGCAATTTCTAGGCACAAATGTCCGCATTGGCTGTATACGCATCTACAGAGTTATTCAATTCCCTGTAGTCCATGACCGGTCTCACTTTCCCCTTATTCTCTTGCACTGTTGCCATCAACGGAATCAGTCCTTGAGGAAGATTTTAGGAATTTTTAAAACCTTGGCATCTTCACATGTCACTCATCAAACCTCCAACTTTAAAAATCTCTTTAAAATCCAATATTTGTCTAAGAGAGTTGATTCAAAGTAAATTAGTCAATTTAAAGAATAATTAACTTTTTACTTTTAAGTAAAATGTTAATAATTATGTTAATTCCCCAAGAAAATAACATTTATTTACACACAGTAGCCTAGCCTCTGATGTCATAAGTTAATAACAGTAGTTTTCTGCTTTCATCCCTGACTTCAAAAGTGCACAAAAAATGAAAAAATAAATATAGAGATACAAAACATTAACTGTGCAATAATGAAAAAATTGGTACTTGTTTAAAAATAAATTCTTTAACCAATAGTTTAAGAATATAATTTTATATTCTATTTGCTTTTATTAAACTTAATAGAATGAATAATTTTATTCAAAATATAAAGAGAAATTTATGAATACAAGTGAAATGATAGTATTTAATTCATTGCTTTTTACATTTTGATTATTTTCTTAACTGTTTGATGTCATAAAATATTTATTTGGAAAAATAAATTTTTTTTTTTAATTATTCTGGATTGAAGAATTATTGAATTATCACATGATACTACTCTTATATTATGTATAGTCAGTCAAAAGATGTCATGCAGAATTATTTCTTTTTGGAACTCTCATACAAAAAATAATTTAAAAATTGCAAAAATGAAAAAAGAATTTGAATTCTTTTAAAGTTTCATTATTTTTTATTATTTTTGTATGGAATTTCAAAAAGGAAATAATTCTGTGACTGCAATCAATTAACAGTATCAGTTATCAATTTTCTTTTGCAAGCATCTCCTTTAGCTTAATAGATTTTAAATTCAGAATAATTGTAAAAGACCTCATTTGGGGCAATTAAATGTATTATGACATAAACAGGTAAAAAATAATCAAAAAAATAAAAGGTAATGAAATAAACTCAAAAGTTTTTAATCAATTTCTTTTTTATACTTCAAATGTAGTCTAAGAAATAAAATGAATTCTAACTTTCATAAAAGTGTATAGAAAGAAAAACTATATTCTTAAACTATTGAGAATATAAGTTTAAAGATTTTTTTTTCTTGAATTACTTTCTTTTTTACTTTTCAAATAATCCAGTTCACATTAGAAATATGAGTAATGCTTTTATTAATAAGGTTTTGTTATATTTAGAAATTTTGGTATTTTATTTTTAACTTCAGTTCACCCAATACAAGGTCCAAGGGCCACTCAAGGTTTATAGAGTGAGATTGTTGTAAGGTAGTGTAAAGGGGTAAGTAAGAAGTGCATATTATTTGAGGCTATGTAAGATGGATTTTCTCATTGCCATAACATAGCTTTCAGTCTCATAATAAACATTGATATGATGGCCAAGATGAAAGAGAACCACCTTATCACATTATAGAAAGATTATAGAAACTAACTACAATTTTAATTAAAATAAATTGCATTAATGCTGTTATAATAATAATAATATAATGCTGAAATAAGAACAAGTGTTTATTAATGCACATTTATTTTATTTCATAAACAGAAATACTACCCTCCAGATTTTGATCCATCAAAAATTCCTAAACTGCGTTTACCCAGGAACAGGCAATACAGTATTCGTATTATGGCACCATTCAATATGAGGTAAGTTTTGCTTCTTTTTTTCTTTTCTTTTTTTTTTTTTAAAAAGAATAACAATTTTAAAGGGATTCAATTATTCTATCTAATATTATAAAGCCAGCATTTGACTGTTTTATGGCTACACAGACAGCTGAATACAGAGGATGAAAAATAGTCTATAAGGATAATTTGAAGATGATTATGGAATAGTTCTGCTGAGTGCAAGGTCACTAGAAGTTGCACACAAGTCAATTTAGAGTTAAAACTACTATTTCTAGTCAATCTGCAAAAATAGGACATCTTTTTCTGCAAGACTGCATAAATAAAATTGCTCATATAATTGCAGACATTTATACCAGCATTTTGGGGCATTGGAAATGGAATCTGGGATCAGATTTTAATGTTTGACTAAAATAAACTGTGTTCAGTTATTGGGATTATTTACTGTGTACACATTCTCACACACATAAATGAAAGTGGCCAGCATTTAATTCATTGAATTTTAATTAATAATGCACAGTTTTCACTATTTTTTTTTAACTTGGAAGTTAGGACTTGTACTTGCTTTTAGAAAATATATACATAGTGTCTGTGTAGTGATTTGTTAATGACAGCCTAATTAGCATAGCTAAGGCATATACTATATAAATACCCAAGCAGTAAGGTTAGAGCAACTCTCAGTATGCAAGATAAATGACTACTGCTGGACTGATCAAATACAAAGGAAATCCCACTTCATAACAATAGTGCCACTGCATGTTCCACGTGTATGTTAATGAAGTGGGGCTCTTATTAATATTTGTAGACTCTTTTTTTTTTTCCGGCTTGCCTGGGCTAATTTCTGTATCTGACAATGCTCTGGAATTTTGTGATGAAGAATTTATGGCTAAGAAAAATAGGATGTACATCTTGCAAGATGCCTCCATATCAACTCCAATCAAATGGGATAGTGGAAGGAATGGGGAAAACTATAAAGCTGGACCTAAATGCAACTTTGCAATAAAAAGAAAAAGTAAAAATCTTCCTAATGAGACTGCTTTTAAGTTACTGCACTATTCCACATGCTGGAAGGTTAGAGATCCCATCTGCCTTAATAGGAAGGCAAATCAGAGCTCCTTTAACTATGTCCTATTTTACTGATGAAAGAATGTGGTATAAAAAGAATAAAGAATCAGTTCCCGGAAAGGTAAATTTCATGCATAACGGAAACAACACAGCTGTAATAAGAAGAAATAAAGGGAGCATATTTGCCCATGCCAATCAAATATGGTCACAAGACAAATACAAGAAGAAAAGTAATGAAGAAATGTCTACTGATATTTCAAATAATGATTTCGTAAAACAAAACTCGCTTTTATAGGATAAAATGTCTGAAGATGAACCTATAGATGATAAAGATAGCCAGAATGAATATTCTGAAACTTCAGAAGAGTTGACGAATAAAGAAGACTGTTCTGAATATGAGACCATGGGAGACAGGTTTAGATCTCTCCATTAATACCACAGGAAATAGTGGATATCAAAGAAATACCAAAAAGAAATTAAGGATCAAAATAAGTGACCAATATCCAGGACATAAGACCCCTAAGTTTTAGGTAGCATAGCTAAATGCCCAAACAATAAGGATAGAACAGTTCTCAGTATGACAGATAAACAACTACCACTGGACTGATAAAATACAAAGGAAATTCCACTTCATAACAGTCTGCTTAATCATTAAGTTACTTACTTGTGTGCACGATAAATATGTATTTTTTTGTTTGCCAAGATACATAAAAGAACGAGTCCTTCCAGAAATCAAGCACTCATTCATTGCCGACTATGAGAAAATTAACACAAATACGGATTTATATAATTTGATGTGTAAAGATGCAACAGGTTGCCTGCATCTGTCAACCACTGCATAGCATTTATTTTTAATCATTTCACCCCAAACAAGGCAATAAAGCCACTTACAATGGGTTACTGAATATGAAATAATCTAAGAAAAAGAAAAACATTTTTAAGAAGAAAGAACGATAAAAGAACAGGAATGAAGAAGACGGAAGATAATGATCAACACTGAATTCAAATTTTTGAAGACCAAAAAGTTGACTGGAAAGCAAGAAACCAGAAGAAAGTTTCAGAAGGGAGAAGTGCAAAAGAAGAAACTCTTAGCATAGAATTTCAAATTTAAATTTAAAGTCAGGATATCAAAGAGGAAAGCTCATGAGAACAATTACCATGAAAATATTTATAGAAAAAGTCAGAGGGAAGCTACATTGCTGTGGTGGGAAAGTGACTGAAGCTGAGATGCCAGGACTAATAACATTGCAGATTCTTCTTTGAATCTCTAAATACATATCAGAAGAACCAGACTATATGTGGCAACAATATTCAAAGCCTAGAAAAATGGTATACTTATAGATAAGATAGATTCTTTTGAGAAAGATTGTCTAGCATGATATGGTGAATCAATTTTCTTAACAGCAAACCTAGCAATTGATTCAATATAATCTTTCTGCTTTATGTCAACAGAAAATGTTAGCCCAAAAAGGATGTTGGAGGTTGGCATCAGCCATGCTGATGGAATACGAAAAAAGTCCTCTAAGATAAACAGTTACATTTTGGAAGCATTGAAATTAACAAGCCATGTCTTGCCCCAGCTAATAGATTGTGGATTGTTTTTGAAATTATTTGCCAATTTGATAGAACCAATCAGACTTAGCATTAAGACAGGAGTGAATAGTTGGGTCATCAGCATAAATACCGAATTGAGAACTGATGTCATCAGGAAGGTCATTGAAATTAAGAATAAAGTAGGTCCAAGGATAGGGCTCTGCATTAGTAGAAAAAATCTAGAAGAGTGGTCATTCAGGACAACTTTTATTCCATGATTTGATTAGAAAGACTGAATTGGTTCAAAAACCCATCCAGAAATGCCATAACCTTTCAATTTGTGAAGAAGACCAACATGCCAAACCATATCATATGCCTTTAAGATATCCAAAGTAACAGACTTACTTTGGATATCTTAAAGGTATTTAGCAGGGTATGACTCGAGCTTCATTATTCTTATTCTTTGATAGACTCTTTCAACAATAAGCATAAATGCATCAGCAGTTGCCCTGTATATTGCTTGTCTGAAAGAAAACCCTGAGAGATGTGATGCTTAACCAATTCAAAGTTGATTAGAGCCTCTAGTACTTTGCCAAAAAGCAGTAGAAAGCTGATAGAAGGATTAGCTGGTTTACCTGAGTTCTTAAAGACTGGAACTACAAAAGAGGATTTCCAACAGGTAGGAAAGCAAGAAACAGCAAGGCATTTATTATAGAGTTTAAAGAGAGCAGGGGCACATTTCTTAATAACTATTGCAGGGATACCGTCAAGTCCTAGTTTCCAGCTACTTTCAACTAAAGACCAACTAAGGACATTAAAAACATTTTTCTTGTCTTTACAACTTAAGTGTCATGGTGCTGTCATTGCATCACTAATTTATATAGTTTTTAGCCCAGTTCTATCTGAAAAAATCCACAAAACCTATATTAAAAGTATAGGATCCAAAAATAAATGAATTCTTTCACAAACAATATCAAATTCATGGTCACCTTTTGTATGTCCTTTGATATTGATGAATACTGCATCAGTTATGTTGCAGATGATATTTTAAGGAAAATGCAAATACCATGTGATATAATTTTTAAATGTCTGTGATAATCAAAATTATTTCTTACTGTTCAGTTATTTGGGGTATTTTGCCTTTTTTGCCTCCTTTTATATAATTGTAATGTAATATGAGTGAATGCTGAAAAAGTCAATTCTACAAAGTAGAAAAATAATCTTGTTTAATTATTTGGTCAAATTTCGGCATGTGGGTTGGACCAAAACTTTTCAACATTTATGTATAAATTTATTTTTTTTTATTCTTTTTAAAGATGTGACACTTGTGGTGAATACATTTATAAAGGGAAAAAATTTAATTCACGCAAAGAAACAGTTGAGAATGAAGATTACCTGGGCTTAAAGATTTTTCGATTTTACATCAAATGTCCTTGTTGTGTGTCTGAAATCGCATTCAAGGTAAATCTATTTCATTTTTATGTCATTGCTTAAGACTGAACTTTTTTTTTATTAATTTTATTTCTGAAAATAATAAAATAGAATTGAATGTTGTCTTTTATACTTAAAAATTCTTTTTCCCTTGTCTGTCTGTTAAATTTATGAAGAAATGATTGGCATTAGCAATAACTGATAATTTATACCCGTTACTACAAAATTTTAAAAATTATACCAGTAAATGAATACACTTAATTTGCTGTTTACTTTAACTTTTTATATTTCATTTTATAATATAATTAAATCGTATATGAAATATTCATTTTATGAAGCATAATTAAAAAATATTCTTTCTTTTCCAAGCAATGATATATCAATTGGAAGAAAAAAAAAATGGCATTCCAATAATTTCATCTTCTGGTAATCATATAGTTATCATGGCTTGGAATGTATAAAAAAAATTTCTAACTTACTTCCCATTGATGTTAATAAATATCTACAATAATACCTATTACTTCATTATGTTATACTTTCTTGATACCATATTGTATTGAGACAAGTCACCTTCAATGTTGAAATAAACTGTTGACTTGCTTAGTCTGCATTATTTTACAAGGATGCTGCAGTCTTTAACAACTGTGGAACTGGAGAGAAGTGCACATACAATGGAAATAAACTGTAGAATGACAACTTATAGATAGCTGCTATTCAATGTCACAGCCAGCATATGAAGACAGCAAGCTGTCACATATGTAAATATCACAGTGTGCTAAAACAGCACATTAAGAATTTTAATCTATGATCAGGCAATATCATTTTACTTAGTCCATAGTAAGTCCCCACTGAAGCTATCCATGTGGCTTAGATATGTAGATAACACCTTTATATACTTACACCACCATCAAGATATGCAAGCATTACTGAAATTGTTCATTTTTTTTTTTTTTTTAAACTACTGAGTGACCATATACAAAGAAACACTATTGAAAAATTCTTTCAAATGTTAGTTAATAAAATTAAATTTATCAACATTTATACCATTGTAAGACAAAAAGATTGCAAAAAAAAATTTAAAAACATTTAATTGGCTAGTTTTAGTAAATAAATGTGAAATCTATTTGTTTACAAAAGAAATGAAGAAAAAAAGGGAAATACAACATGATACCTGAAATCTATTTGTTTTAGTTTTCAAAAAATAACTTTTGTGGTAAAATTAAATTAACAACAAAATACCAAGTAAAAATAAAAAAATAGTTGCCAGTTTTGTGTTAAATTTTATGAAGTCGTATTTTTTGTAACAGTTTTCTGATAAGCCAGTAAGCCAATCACGAAATAGTTATTGTAAACAAGAAAAATGAATGAAGATCTTTTTTTTATGAATAAATTTGTTTTTATCTAGGGAATGCACCTAAATTGGATACTAAGAATAATTAAAATAGTTGTTAATTTAACTTTTAAAATGTATATATTTCCAGATATACGAGTCTCTTGTGTAAAATTGTTTTTCTTTCTGCGAATAAAATCTAGCAAATACACCTAAAATTAGATATAAAAAAAAAATAAAGTAAGTTTTAATCTCAGTTTTAAAATGTGTACATTTTCAAAACAAGACATTTTTTTTTTTTTTTTTTTTTTTTTTAAACCCAAAGTAAAAATTATTCTTTTTTTAGCTACTAGTGGGTGCTTTACTGTTCTACCTATAAAATTCTTCTAAACAAGGAAAATTAATTCATTTTAATATTTTTACAAATATATTTATCTAGCAAATACACTTATATTAAAATAATTAAAATAGTTTTTAATTTCAGTTTTAAAATGTGTATTTAAAAAAGAACAGGTGATACTCACAGATTTGGAAATGTGCACATTCTAAAAATTTTAATTTAATTATTTTTAATATTAAATGTGTATTTAAAAAAGAACAGGTGATACTCACAGATTTGGAAATGTGCACATTCTAAAAATTTTAATTTAATTATTTTTAATATTTAATTTTAGGTGCATTCGCTAGATAAAAACAAATTTATTTAGGGTAAAAAATAATTCAATGATTTTCCTTGTTTTGAAGAAATTTATTTGCAAAACCCCAATAACAGTTGCCTGGCATACCTGTAAAAAAAAAATTGCCATATTTTAATTAAAAGCCACATCATAATCTAATTTCTGGAGAGCTATACCATTTTCTCTCTCAAGAAATGTGTTGTCCAAAGACACAAATGTAGATAGTTTATGTGATGATTTCTTTTGTATTTTACCAATTTGTTAATAAATGTGGTAGTTATTTATAGTTGACAATTTATTTGAAAGTTTATTAAACTTTAATCTAAGTCATGTCTATGACTAAATTACCTTTAAATGCTGAAAACTGACTTTAGGTGAACAATTCCTACTTTATTACCCACCTCGATTCACAGTTTTGGGATTTTTAATTCCAGTGGTCTTTAATGCATGTCTATAAACTTTTATTGACCCCTTACACATCCATTAACAGACTTCCACAATGACAGACATTTCAAAAAACAACACTCAAAAGTCGATAAGTATACAGGGGATTTCTTTTATGCAACATGGCAGTAGTTTCAGTATTTGAAAGTTTTTTTACCACACATACTATCAGTTAATCATTTATTTTATTTTTTTTTTTTTTTTTTTTTTTTTTGCTGCTTACTTTATAATTTTTGAAGGAATTCATTTCCGCAAGTCAGAGAAGAAATAAATGTCTTGCTAGTTATAAAGTGTCTTCTAATGAATGTACAATTTCAAGAATATTGATAAAGATTGGTCACTTTGATTTTGTAAAACAAAGTAACATGTAAAATTTAGTCTTGAAGAAAGAATAATTCAATGAATAAAGGCACATACAAATTACATATTTAGAAAGATTATTTTATTTTCTTTCCAGCCATATGAATATTTTTAAGATTGGACCAGAAATACACAAGAATTTGTGAGTTAAAAGGACTAAGTTCCAAATTTATCAATCTAAAACGAAATCGGATATCAACTGGAAATGCTATCATTACACAAGAAAATGAATGGCTTCCTTAGAAAGCAAAAGATACTAAATTAAAAACCAAATCAAAAACCGGTATCATGGAGAAAAAACTGGAACCTGATACCGAAACATAAATTGCCAAACCGACCAACTCTACAAGATAGAATAGAGACACCATCTGAGTGAAGAAACGTTGAAAGACATGGCAGATCATATATAGATGGAAAAGGTGGTTTTCAAACCTTGTAAAATGAAGTCAAGACAATGGTGGATAAAATAACAAAGAATCAGTGCATATGTTAAGCACTGACAATCTCTTCAGTAGACCAAGCATAGAAATGAATACCATCTAGGAGCTGATTAAGAAAGCAAGGACATTCATAAAATTCTACCTGAAAACAGACATTAGGTTTAATGTTCCAAATTTACACCACATGCCTAAAGCATATCTGGTTCTCTCTGGCAAGTGTATGTTCAATCTCTATGTCATGTAGTACAGAAAAAGTTTCTGGTACAGTAGAAGAAACAGACAAGTGTCACAAATATGTGACAATGTCAGTATAATGATGAAAATGAGGATCCTATCAGAACAGAAAAGCATTTAATAATGATGATAATTCATTATCTAGAAAATTTCAATATAGGTTTTATTCAATTAATTTATTGACAGATTTTGTAAGATATCTATGCAAATATTTTTTTAAAGTAATTTAATCATAAATGGATAACTGATCTGTTAATCATGGAACTGAGATAGCTTTGTCACTAATCAAAAGAAATATGTTTGAAGTTATGTAGCTTTTCTGTTCATTAATTCAAATTTTAAATAAAACAACTTATCCCAAGTTGAAAAGTTTAAAATTGCTAATTTCTTAATGTGGGAAATATCTAATCTTCAAATCTCTTCTCTAAATCTCTATTGTAATACAACATTGTGAGTTGCTCAGTGTTTTCAGGGTTAAGACATTCATGTTGTATATTGAGTAAATTTTAACTGAGAAAATTAATGTTCAGTAACAGGCATCCATATGACCTTATTGGCAATCTGTTCCAAAAGAGGAAATCTGCTTTTATTTGCATTCCAAAATGATGGGATATTAAAAGTATTTGGTAAATCATCTTGGTAATTTACGTACATTTGAAATTCTTCAAGATCAGTAGAAAGTCATTGCAAGTCCTTGATGGCTGCAAAACTGTCTATAGCTTGGCCTATACGGGGTAGCTGTCTAAGATCAAACAGGTGAGCTGCCTTGTAAAAGTTATACACAGGGTGGGTTTCCAGGTATTTATTCAGGTTCAAAAAGGATGTGCTGACAAAATCTTGAAAATTTGAGACAGTTCAGACAGAAGACAATCAGTTTCTAGGCCAAATGTTGATTTTGATGTACCAGTATACAAATACTATTTTACATCCTCCATGTTATATACAACACTTGCTAGCAGAGACTTAGTTTATTCTAAGCTTGTCAAGGCTGTTTTTAAATGAGTGCAGTTCTCATTCATAAAATGCTGATTTAGGCACAAATTAGAGATGTGGAGTCATACCTTTCCTGGGGTTATATGCATGTAAGCAGGGCTTTACGTCACACTCCTTTTAGGAGTGTGCTCCATTTTACTGGAGCAAAGGAGAAGAGGGCTCATTTTATATTCAACCAGAGTGGTGCCTGGGCAGCTCTATTTGGTATTAAAGAGCAGGGGTTTTTTCACTCTGTGCTCCTCACTTCAAAATTATTTGAATTTCTTTTAAACATTAGTTTGTATTCAACAATAAAAAAGAAAAGAAAGGAAAATCTGAGCTAAACTCTTTGAGTTATTTTTTCATTATTATATCTATGGCAAATATATAAGAGAGAGATAGTGAGAAACTGTGTTTGTGTGCATGTGTTTTAGTTACACATGAAAATGGAAGCTATTTCCACTTCTACCTGTTTTTTTTGTAAAGAGGCAAGTGACTTTGACACCCCCATGCACTACTCTTATTTCATCAATCTGTCACTCCCTGTCTCAGTGCTACCAAAAAACATAGTATTCTTGGTATTGTCACTTGGTGGTGTCTTCATTGTCATCACATGACAACAAATTGGAAGGTAACCAGATTTTACAGTGTTTTTTTTCTTCCTCTCTGCCCAATGGTGGTTATGATTCTTCAGAGAATTTAGGTGTGAAATCAGTCATGGTAAATTCTTTGTCTCTGCTGAAAGCCAATTTCACAGTACACACTAACAAATTCAGTTGATAACTAGCAAGTTTAATGAAAACAAATTGAAGAATTCAAAAGTAAAGGATGAAAACATCAATCTTCCTATATAGCCTAGTTGGCAATCTATTAGTGGGAAAATTATTCTAAGATTAATTCATAATAATTTGAGTGACCTTGATTCTGGCATGCTGAGCTTGTTTGTGTGTTAATGACAGAATCAGCAACAATATCTTCTCTGTTTGATCATGTCTGTCTCTGACTTTCACTGTTTTATTTATATATAAGTTAGTGTACCTCAAGCTTTGATTTTTTTTTTTTTTTTTTTTTCATAACCTTCCTTTGTCCAATAACAGATAATCTTCTTTGGAATGTGGTCAGGCCAAGTCACTGGTTTGAACTTTGGTAACAATATGAACAATTGGTAGATTTTATTAAGAATTCTTACTTGGAATTTGGGGAAAGTTCAGATGGCCAGTTTTTTGTTCAATGTTTAGATTTAATTTTTTTCCTGCTTTAAATTGTCATTAGGCATTCTCCTTGAACCAGGCTTACCACCTCGATTGATGTCTGGGGGACAGAAAAATTTCAACTGTGTAATTAAAAATCTTCCAAATATGAAGTAGACATGAAAATACAGGATTTAATGAAAATTAGTTAATTTAATGATTTGCTTTGAAAAATATTGCTTACTGTATACTTAAAATATATTGAAAAATACTTTTGTTTACAGCAAATGTCCTTTCAGTGGAAAGGTCAAGTGGATACTGGATCAACTTTCCTTACCCATATATAATCAAAGCCTGCAACAGAAGCAGCATAACAACAATAAATGCTGTAGAATGTTACTTATATTTAACAGTCTTTTGCATACATAAATTATTCTCTAAATTATTCAGCATATGTTTGAAACATTGTCCTGCAAACAGTCTTTTGTTTATTTTTCAGACTGATCTAAAGAACACTGATTATACCCTGGAAGCTGGTGCGAAGAGAAATTTTGAAGCTGCTAAATTAGCTGAAGAGATGGAAGAAAGATCCCGCAAAGAAAAAGAAGAAGAAGAACTAAACAATCCAATGAAGGTATATTTTTTTATGTCCTTTGCTGAATTGACAATGATTGTCCTCTTGGTATACTTTAATTCATTAACATTATTTGCAAAGAGATAATACATGACTATAAATAAAAAAAATATATAAAATTTTTGTTTTATTTTTACGTTAGAAATTGGGTAAATGATATATAAATTTCTACATATCAAAAAAAAAAAAATGACTAAAAAAAGTTTAATTTGTTTTGTCATTGAAAAAACTTCATAATGTTCTTATTGATGGAATGTATATATGTAGATTTCTGAGTCTGACAAGGTAGATTTGTGTCTAGGTTCTTACAACATTTACTTTTCTTAACTGTTTTTGCAGCATGAAATATTTAAAAACATTGATAAAAATAAGAGTTGGGAAACTAAATGAAATTGGCTGAGTGTCTAGATATGTCAGATACTAGAAAATTTTTAAACTTAAAATTTTGCATCTTCAGCATTTTCTGTTGCTACATAAGTATAACTAACATTTTCGTTTATATTTTGCTACTGCCTACATATAAATTCACTAATAAAATCATTATTTTAACATGACATCATTTTAAAGGACAAAATGAATTACATCATTTTTTTTCCATTTTGTCATACTGTTACTTTAGAAATTCTATTTAATGTTTTAAACTCTTCATCATTTGAAAGTTGCACAAACTGTTATAGAAAAGAAAGGTTGATATTTTTTTTTTAATTTTTTATAAAAGATTTTTGTATTTAAAATATAAATTCTGAAACTTGTTCAAAATAATTTTTTTTAATGTAATTCTTTTAAGAAAATCAAATCTATTAACTAAAGTATTTCTAAAATTTAGGTTTTGAAGTGTACAATTAATGTAGGTACCTCCACGAGATAGCTAAAAAAAGAGCATAGCATGATGAAAAAGACGCCAAGTTTGTTAATATTAAGAGGAAAGGTCAAAGTATTTTTGGGGTATTTTTTTCCATTTTTTAATCATTCCTAGCACGTCCGAAATTTTTGTTAAAAATCTAGTTTTTTTTGAGTCAGCAAAATTGGCCATTTTTTCCATTTTAAAAAAACTGGAAATCTGACTTTGAAATTTTTTAAATATCAATTATCATTTTTTTTCAAAACTTATTTTAAGAAAATCAGAAATTATAATGTTTATTTAAAATATTTTGAACCAAACTTAACTTAGCTTTTGTGCCAAAAAGATGTAATTTGAAAATAAAACAAAGCAGGTCATAAACTTTTCGTGTCCCTTGACATGTGATGAATGATATATTTCTGAATTCCATGAGGCTAATTTGTTCTACTGGAAGGAGAAAAGTGAAATAATTTACATTTACGTGAACAAATTATTTACCCGTTATTTTTAGCAAAAACTTTCAGCGGTCTAATTTTTTTTTTTTTTTTTTTTTTTGTACTTAGCTTTCACCTTTACGTTTATGATGCTTTATGGGAAATATATTGTAAAGAAATTAAAATAAAACTGTTAAGAGTGACATTAAATTTCATATTTCTTAAGAAAGATATCTAATTAATTTATAGGTACCTTTCTTATGAAATTTTATCAGAATTGTACATAAAATACTATAATTTTATGTACATTTATTACATTCTACTGTTATTTGTATTTGCATTCATTTTATTATTAATTTTGATATTTCATTTATGGAAAAATGTCATAACTGAGATTAATATAAAAATAAGATCATATAAATTTCATAAGATGATACTGATACTTGTAGGTACCCTTCTCAGTTGAAATTGAAAAATCAAATTAACTTCTCCACACGTGTTTTGAAAAAGTAAAAAGGCCTTAACAGCGGAGAACAATGCTTAACTCAAATAACGCAACTTAATTATATTCTGGTTGGTCTTCCGTATTTTATAATTACAGCTCGATTATAAGCACAAAATTACATTTCTTAATTACTGGGGATCTTCTGATTAGTCAAAAATGATACAATTTACAACTTGCTAAAAAAAAAGATCTATCTCATAAGGACACTTATGAAAGCCGATCTTTTTTAACTAATTTTATAATGTTTTAACAACTTAAATGTAAAATCTATTATAATTAATGAAATAACAAATAATTGTATTAAAAATTCATTTTTCATCGAAAAAATTTTTTTGCTTTCAAAAAATATTGTCCATATTCATAAAAACAACTAAAAGCAAATAAAAGCATTTGAAATTAAATAATATCTTTGTTTTATTGAGTTTTGTATGTTACAATTCAGAGCTGATTTTCAGGTACTGCATATCCAATTAAAAACAAAAAAAAAACATGATTTGCATTCCTCAAAGCCCTGTGCGTTTAATTATTGTAATCACTAAAACCGATGCGATCAATTTCTAGCGTTTTCATAAAATTAGTTATGGGGGGTAATAAATATTTTTAAAAATGTTTCTACCATGACTTTAAAAAAAAAAACATATTTATAATAATTTCGATCATCTGTGAATAGTTCCTGAAAGTTTCATTAACATCTGATAATTATTTCTATTTTTGCACGATTTTTCAAATTAATGTGTCATACCAAAAAAACGTGCTAAAAATTGTCTGTTATTTACTAGTTCCGCTGATACAAATAGAAAAAAGGTTTTTTTAATCAAAATTTAGAATGTTCTAAAAAGAAGGAAAATTTTTTAAAATTAATTAAAAAAAAACTTTGGTCTTTCCTCTTAATAATAACATAAGCATTTAGACAATAAAATTTAGTTTTCGGCAAGGTTGGCGTCTTTTTCCTCAAGCTATGCTCTTTTTTTAGCGATTTCGTGGAGGTACCTAAATTAATGCATTCTGAAAAATCAGATTAGAAATATGCACTTCATGAGATTCTTTTTATTGCTAATTTTCAAGTCATATTTCTGCTTCTGAAGAAAATTGAAAAATAAGAAAAAACTTACTTTTATTTAAGTAGCATGGATATTTTTTTTTTTTTTTTTTTTTTTGTATATAAATTTCTTTGAATGCCTTTTCAACACTCATTTATAGATTTTTATTTTTTAACCTAGAGTGATTGCAAATTATATATTGCTGCAATGCTATAAAAGTATAGCATTGCAGCAATATAAAAATTAAATTTGCTGAGAGTAAAGATTTTCTGTTGTGTTGCTTTGTAGGTATTAGAAAATAGGACAAAAGCCAGTCGTCAGGAAATGGAGCAAATTGATGCTTTGGAAGAATTGAAAGATTTGAACATGAGACATGCCACTGTGGATCATGAAACAATGCTCAAGCGACATGCAGCTCAGGAAGAAATTCTAATGAAACTGCAAGATGAAGAAGATGAAAAGTTGATAGAGTAAGCACATTTATTTAAAAATTTTTTTTTTTTTTTTTTTTTTTTTTTGTCAAGTAAATTTAATAATTGTCTTAAATGGTCACCAACCCTATAATTCAATTTATAGTAACTGGAAGGTAACTTGACACTGGAATTTGCACATATACTAAGAGCTCTATGCTTAATGTTAAATCTAATCTCACATTTGCACCAACAATTCAGCAAATACTATTTCTATATTTCTTTAAGTAACTTTAAATTCTCAACTAATCATTATTATACATGCACACACACACACACACACACATATATATATATATATATATATATATATATATATATATATATATATAATAGTCACATAAATGAGCATTGATGTGTAATTGTTGAAAGCCTTGTTTTCAAACTGCCATATAGGAAGAAAATGAGTAACTACCGACACCAAGGTCTGAGCATGACACTCTGGACTTGTATGTTTTTCGCCAGGTGTATAAATAGCTGTGTCAGGCTATTGAGTGATTATTGAGTGACTACTGATTGGAAGTATCCAGCCAAATTAGTGTGAATTATTGTGCATTGATGATTTTGATTTAGGATTTACTGGGCATTAAGCCAAACTGTGCTACTAACAAGGTATTCACTTAAATGGTTAATTATTTTTGGTTGGCTTTTACTATTCCGAATGGGTGTCACCAACAGTTTACACAAAGGAAAAAAAAGATAAATAATCCATGTATTTGCTGATTTTTCAACAGGATTAAATGAAATTTTGAAAGAGTGTAACTACCTGTTACCAAGTTTGGAGGAAATTTTTGCTAAATTAAATGGTGGTAAGTTTTTTTATAAATTGGATCTTTTGGATACTTACCTACAAGTAGATGAAGGAGGTTCTAACCTCTTAAGAATTAACACTCATAAAGGACTACAAATTTAACAGACTTCCTTTTGGTATAAATGTAGCACCAAGCATATTCCAACAGATAATGGATACCATACTTGCCGGTTTGGATTGTGCACAAGCGTATTTGGATGATGTAATTATAAAAAGTGTAAGATGTGAAAAAAGTTTTTGAAAGAATTAAAGACTACGGTTTTAACATCAGTAAAGAAAAGTGTGAACTATTTATGAATAGAGTGAAATACCTAGGATAAATTATCGACACGAATGAAAGACAACCAGATCCTTCAAGGGCAAGCACAATAAGGGACATGCCCACCTCAACAAATGTATCAAAGTTACAAGGATTTTTAGGGTTAGCTAATTACTATCATGCATACATACCAAACATGCATAAATTAACAGCACACTTGAATAACTTGCTAACGAAAGATGTTAAATGGGATTGGTCAGATAAATGTCAAAGTGCTTTTGAAGAGATTAAAAAAGTCCTAATGTTGACCCTAAATTAAAGCTTGTGGTTGCAGCAGATGCAAGTGAGTCGGGTATTGGAACGGTGATACTACACAAATATGAGGACGGAAAAACTAAACCAATATCTCATGTTTCAAGATCATTAATAGCAGCTGAAAAAAAACCCACAACCAGATTGAAAAGGAAGTATTGGCTATCATATTTGGTAAAAAAAAAAAAATTTTTCACAAGTTTATTCATGGTAGGCAACTGACACTAAAGACAGATCATCATTCATTGTTGTCCAATTATGGATCAAAAAAGGGTGTTCCCACACACAGCAAATAGACTGCAGCCCTGGGGCACTATCTTATTAAACTACAATTATAAAATGAAGTTTTCTACCATTCAAAAAAAATAAGAATGGCAATGGAACATTTGAATATTGAACCCAAACTGAAGCGATATAGACACCAGAGATATCATCACGAAAAGGGTAGGTGTCATATACAAAGAAAATGATTAACTACTGACACTGAGGTTCAAGTGTAACACTCTGAACTTATGAATATATTTTCCACCTAGTGTATAAATGGCAGTATCAGGCTACTGACTGCAGGGATTATTGAGTGAAACTATCCGGTCGAATTAGTGTGAATTATTGTGTGCCAATGATTGGGATTTTGATTTACCAGACATTAAGCGAGCCACACTACTAACAAGGTATTCACTGAAATGGTTAATTATCTTTTCGTTGATTTTTACTTTGTTCTTGTTAAGTATTTGTGGTTGTAATTAAGTACTGTTTTATTTAACATTGAAGTCTTGAGTTAATAATTAAGTATAACTCAAGCCACTATACATCACAAAACAAACTGAATAAAAATATTTCTTTCTTAATCATGATTTAGCATTTCTTTGTTCAAATCTTATTTTAGGTCTATATTCAACAAACAAAGAAATAAGGTTAAGAGACTTGATTCTGATGATGTAGACCCTGATCCTCCAGTCAAAAAATCAAAGAGAAATAATACCACAGATATTTTAACAGTAAGTAATGCAACTTTTTCAAATTATTACCATTTTTATGCCATGTAATATGTAAATTAGTATGAAATTAAAATATTAAAAAAATGATTTAAGCTTTTATGATTGTTCTGATCTGTTCATTTTTATTTCTTTATTTTGATAGACTTATTATATTGTAAATGTTTAACCCTTTGAATATGAGTAGTTTGTATACCAGCTTTTGTCAGAGAGCATATACCTGAGAAGCTGTTATACCAGTTAGTTATGTGTTCTTACAAATGCACTGATGTTCCTATGTTCTCAATTTAACTTGGAAATTTTCATCCAATCATTTTTCAGACTGGGTCAGAAAAGGAAATTATTAGCAATTTTGGATGTTGTCTAGCATAGAAGAAGCGGACAAATGTCTGATTAACATCATAGAAATTTTGTATCAGAATATGACATAGTAAGGTGTTCCCTGCACATCATGGTGTAAGGTTACCAGTTATAAATGACATTAGCTCTAGATTGACTGATACTTAAAAAATGAGATATAAATTGCAGGTTCTTTCCAAGAACTATAATAAAAGGAAAAACAAAATGGTAAAACAGAGAGAATAGGATGTGCTTTATGAAGGCATAGCTGTTATAACTTGATGAGGTAAAAAAACAATAACAATCTACTTTGTTACTACTATGTAAATTTCAGCTACAGTGGAGAAGGTTCTGAGATATATAATGCACATTAAGGCATATGACTTCTATTAAATGTATATGGAGGAGGCACAGACAAAAATGGTCAAATGATATAACTTCAGAAATGTAGATGTTTCTACAAGTGGCCAAGACACATTTTGATGAAATGTAATAATGAATTTCACCAACCTCATATCCATGACAAAAAGAGAATGTGTACTTTTCATGTATTTTTGAAGGACTTGTTGGGGTTGGAAGTCATTTAACGTTAAATCAGTAAGTGTCAGTCTCAAAAGTTCCTTGACACCTAAAAGTGGATATTCACCTCATATGAGTGGCCCATTTTTGCAAGTTTGGTTGGGTACAGAGTAGTGTCTTTAGAAATCATGTTCTATCAGTATACATCTTCCAGGATAGAGCACTGTATTCTGGCCTCAATCCTTTTCCATTTTGATAATTTTTTGCAATTCCATTTTCCTGAAGAGACATGCACACATTGGAAAGGCAAGGGCATGTTCTGAACTTCCTATTGTAGAGCATGGTGTCATTTTCCATGAGGAGCTTGTGTGGCAAATCTCGTTCACAGAATGTAGACTCTAGCTGACATGTAACACTCAACAAGTTATGGTGAATCAACAGCTGCTGTACAGCTTATTGGTACAGGCCACAGTTGATAAGTGTGAACTAATGGCCATTGCTGCCATTTACTAATTGCTGTCTACTGTCAACTTTCTTTTACTGGTACTAGGTCTATTGTTTGAAAATGCCAACTTGATGGCTGATTTAGACGTGGAAGGGTAAATTCTCTTTCTGCATCTTATTCCTTAATGTGCACTACATTGGTGTATGACCAGAGTCAAGCTCATCTGTGGTGGTGGCATGCACTGATGAAAGATGTTCAGCTTCCTTTATCTATTTTGACCTGATATCTTCAATATCATATCTAAAGATGACCCATACTTTTAGACTAGCTCCTTGAATGTACCCAGCCTCTTCCACATTAGCATATTTAGTGGACAAGGAATCCGTTTATAATTGTAACACTTTGGCCTACAACTGGAGGATCAGGTTTATGTTCAAAGTGTCATTCAATGGGTCACAGCTGATATATTTTAGACCAGAGGCCAAAAAGTTGGCAAATAACCCAATTAAAGACTGACATTTGAAAAAAATGATAGTTGTTACCCATACATGGTCCCCAATCTTGACCCAAATCTGCAATTGGTCAAAAATTATGATATAAAACTTGAAGGGCTCCAAACTTAAAAAAAAAAAAAAAAAGTTTTATCAAAATGTTTATTATTAAGAAGAGGAAAGACCAAAGAATTTTTAAAAAATTGTTTAATACTTTCTAGCATGTTCAAATTTTGTTTTTTGCGTTAGTGGTCCACATAATATTTACGATTAGTAGTTTATTTTTTTTTTTTTTTTTTTTTTCCAAAGTGAAATTCTTGCAAAATCAAATAACTGTCAGATTTTAATGAAAGCTGCAAAGAACGATTGTGGATTTCTGGCAGATAGGTCTATGCAAAATTATCCCAAAAAAGAAATGTGTCAACAAAAGATCTGTTTGCATGTAGAATTGCAACAAAGACAGTGTTCATCACCATCATTGAGAAACTTCTGGTAAGTTCACTTAAATGGCTGAACTCTGGATCCATTTGTGAAAATCAAATTGCCACAGAAGATGGTCTAAAAAGAAGTCTTTTCCACATGGACAGAAAACAAGTCAGCAAGTTTGATTGTGATGACATCATCAGTCAGTACAAAGAGTTTGAGGAGAAGAATATTGCTTTCAAGAATTTCAGCAAGTATAAAGACTGTCTGGACACTTTGTTCTACTCTAGCAACAAAGAATATCAAAAACTATTGAAAGTTGTTCACATGTTGCTGGTACTCTCTCATGAAAAAGTCTCAGTAGAAAGAGACTTCTCAGTCAATAAGGAAATTTCCACTGACAATATGAAATGGAAAACTCTGGTTGCACAGTGCATTATCACTATTTGACCACACTTGGAGGTGCTGGGAATGTTCCCATGACTAAGGCTCTTCTCTGCAGTGCTTCCAATGCCAGAACAGCATACAACCAATACCTTGAGACTGAGAAGAAAAAAAACAAAATAAGTGGTGGTGGGGTGCAGGAAGAAGCAGCTTGACAAAAACAGAAATCCATGCTTATGAAAAGTGAAGAACTGAAGACCAAAAAACACAAGCTTGAAAGTTGCACACGAGATTTGCTCGTCAGCTGACACCTATGCAGAGAAAGTTGAACAGTCGGAACTTCACACTTATTGCAAAGTCCAATGCCATGTGAAGATCTTCAAAGAACAAATCCATAGAGATAATAGTGATATTCAAATTGGAAGAGGAGCTGAATGTTAAACTAGATGAACTGAAAAAATACATTATTGTGTTCTGTGGTAACAACAATGTGTAGTCTTTTTGGAAAAATTACTATTTGTAGTTCTCTTCACTAAAAGCATAATATTTAACTTTACCGGAAATGTGCAGCAGCCAAGAATTTTTGTGACATTCATAAACCATGGGTTGTCTAGATAGCAAAAATGAAAAGTGTTTAGTTTTTTTTTTTTTTGATAGATTCAGGGTAGATGCAATCACTGCTTTTATTCCAATTTCAGATGATACTTTCCATTCTTATCCCAACTATGAATATCCATGTCATTGGCCAGTAGATTTCTGTCCCATTTCACTTGAACAGTGATTAAGCCTTTCTCATTTCCACCTAGTTGACAGTGAACATCAGTAGTTGGCCACAAATTCTGTTGTTGTGTCCCTATAGAAAATCAATGAAATTGATCTCCCACAGAATGTGGTAACTCTTCTCTTCTGGTTGCTGGTTACAGTTGTATTGTTGGTGATCGGCTTGAGTGGGAGAAAAGTTCTTTGTGAAACAAACCAAACATATTCTGTAAAAAAGTCTACAGAATTTAACTTCTACGAAATGATGCTTGAAGGTTCTCTTTTTGTGTTCAGCAAAATGGGAATGTCATTGAATCTGGCTCGTTTGCTTCCTTCACAGAAAATGACTGCCAAGCGAATTGTACACTTTTGCTCATATGGGGAAATCTTCCCTGATAACAATGATTAATGATTTCACTTGACTTCACTTAGCAAGGTTTTAAAAAAAATGCCAATTTACAATGCTCATAGCCCATATTTCATTATCTCCCTATTTGCTTAAATTAACTAGACAGCCCTCTTACTGGTAAAGGATTCCTCCAGGAATAACAATAATTATAAAAATTGCAGATGATTGGCACTGAAAAGAGACATCTGATTTCTCTCTAGTCATCAGCTTCAAATTAATTTTTCATTTAGCAGTTTTCAAATATTTTACTAATCATTTTTCAAACAGACATTTTGTGATCACTCAGATAGAGTTCATAAATATCTAAATTCCAACTCTCATCGCACCAGCACCATTTTAGCCAAAAGGCATTTCACATTGATATCTGCACATGAAAATACATTTACTCTTACTTTATCAACATAATTTCTTATTTCCTCCTTCCAGCTTCTGGTACAGGGTTTATAATCTTCTGAAAGCCAGAGTTGAAGTTGCCAAAACCTGTTTTAATTTTCTATTTATTTAAATTTTCACCCTCAAATGCCATTTTTACATTTCTACTTATAAAACATTGATTTCAGGCTCCTTACCTTGTTACACCTGGGAGACAATCCTTTCTTATCTGGCTGTTGACTCATTAACTTTTTCCACCTTTTCATTGGTCTTATTTTTCATCCTCCAGGGTGGCTAACAACCTGCCTCACAATACAATCAACAGTAAATTTCATATAAGTTTTAATTTAGTTAAAGTTAAAAAATCTTCTTTTTTTTCTTTTTCTTCTTCTTTTTACTTAATTTTTTTGGACCATTGGTGTATTGGGTTCTTAACCTTCCTTATGTGACCTGCATAAGTTGGGGGTGAGGGTTATGATGTCACCCTGGTCCTGCTCCCATGCTATCCTGTGACGATCTAACCCTTGGCTAATTCGTTTGAAAATCTGGTTAGATTCAGCATCAGCTTTGTTGTTCCCAGCTCGCCTCCAACATCTGGTTACCAAAGTAACTGCTTTGATTTCTAGTCTAACCTACCCATGTTGTGATTTGATCTTAGGTAGACGAGATCAATCTGGCGTTGGGCTGTAGTGCAAGGCGAATCTGGGGCAAAGGTGATACTGCACAAGTATATGTAAAAGAAAATAAAGTAACAACTCAAAAGATTCAAATGTGTTAAAAAAGAATAACAAGTATCTTTATATCTGGTTGCTGAATACAGGACTGCATCTTTCTCCCAAACCGCTTCGTGATTCGTGACACTTTGCGTTTCTTAGGCGAGTTGTTTTTCAATAAACTGGTTTTTGGTATCTTCAGGTGATATTCGTAAGACTTGTTTTGGTGGTGTGAGTCTGTCGTTCTTCAAAAAAAATTGTTTTTGGTTAGAAGTCTTAAGTCGGAATGCATGGGGACCTGTCGTGGTTTGGGTTCCTCAATAATTCCACATCCGCAATAAAGATGTTTTGTTTTCGGGCAAGAAAATTTATCACTTCCCATTTTTGGAAGTCAATTACTTTCTGTTTTAGAGGGGTTCTTAAGGGAATTGTCCTCCTAAATTCTTCCTTTCTCATATTGGTATCTCACACCAATCCCCTCAGAGGGCGTCAACAGGTTTCCCTTCTTTCTCATATGTTTATCTTCGCTCATGCGACCATTCAGCCAATGAACGCTCGGCAGTGTGGGTGTGGCTAGACTGGCCTAAGTTTACAATTATCGCTCAAAGAAAAAAAATCCTCCCTTGTTCTTTTCTTTCTTTTCCATCGACCAGAACCCCCACAAATCGTACTGTGGACATTAAATCTTTATCTTAACTTGATGTCATCTGGGATTCATTAATGGGATTTTCGCCGAGTTATCTGGGTGGTCAACTGAATCTCTTTGTCTTTCTCAACATCATCGCATTCTGTCGCCAACAGTCTGTCCAGGTAACAAACTTTTATCATGGCAAGTTCTGGACACACAACAGGTGGCTCCCCTTCCAAAACCAAATGATATCTCCAAAATGGCTTATTCTTTTTCTTTTTCTCTTCTTCCTTCCTTTTTCTTTGGGGTGGTCTCACCTAATTCTTTCTCAGTCACATGCTTGACCCAATTTTCGATTATCTTCTAGCATTCTGCTTTGTAAGCATTTTGACCAAATTGAAATTTTCATTATTGCCATGAGCAGATTGCTATCTTTTAACTGCATTCTGCCTTTCCTCACCGCGTCATGACATAAATTAATTCTGACAGATCCGAGATCTTACGAATTTTCTATCTTCTGTGAAAAAATACCTTTCTTTGCAAATGAAAATAAAATCTTTACCCATTTTTCTTTTGTTAAAAAAAATAACATCGCTCAGTATGTCTTTTGTTATAGCTTCTTCTCACCTTAAGTATTTCTCACTTTTAATTTCCACGCTTAATTAGTTAGCCAAAAGCTAAAAGAGGGTGCAAAAGAAGAAAAATTAACCAAGTTTTTAAAGTAAAAAATTTACAAATAAGTAAATTCACAATGATACACAAATTAAAAAAAAAAAATGCTATGGATCTGAATAAAAGACACACACACACACACATATATATATATATATATATATATATATATATATATATATATATATATATATATATATATGTCTAATTTTCCATCTCAAAAAAAATTAAACATAAAAAAACGTTTACAAATTTTTTTCAGATTTTACACACCTGTTTGTTGAAAATAACAACTTTGTGTTTATTTTGAGTTATTTTTTCTAGCTAAACAGAGTTTAAGTTATTTTCTTGAATTTTTTTCAAAACTAATTTTTAAAATTTTTAAAGTTTTTTTTCTTTTTGTCTTTTACTTTCAGTTGGAATATAATTTGAATTCCTCACTTTCTAACAGCAGCAGTGAAACTGTTGGAGAAAAACCAGCATGGGAACGTAGTGTTGGTTTACTATCTTCCAAAAATTGCTTGACAATGTTGGTAAAGAAAAAAACTAAATGTCTAGAAGAAAAGAAAACTAAAGTTGAAACTTTTATAAAACCTGCAAAACAAACTTTGACCTCACAATGTGGCATTTCCTTATTACAACAAAATGTAGATGTTAAAAATATCCCTTTACCAAACAAAAGTCAAAAGCTGGATACAGATAACAGCAAGATTATTTATTCAAAGTCTTTATCAAAATCTACTTCAGGTCTTGGTCTACTGGGAGCTTATTCTGATTCAGACAGTGATTGATAAATTCTGTGAGATTTAAGTATGTTTCTAAAATCTATGAACTCTTATCCCTTTATGATATTGTCAACTCTAACAATAACACTTTATACAATATTACACTTTACAAATCATAACTTCTTTTTTCATCAAATATCAGGAAAACTATTTATACAGACACATCCATACAATGTATATGTTGTTATAAAAAATATTCTACTCTGTAACAAATAGAAGGCCAATAAAACCGACAATGGTGAATTTAAATTTCAAGTGTTACTCAGACGTGAACTGATTCATTATGTTACTTTTGTTGTTAACACATTTCAATTGATCCATTCTGCAGTCTTCTTCAATATGATGGATATGAAAATGATAAATATGAAAATCCACATCAGAATAAGGCATAAAGTAGACTAAAATAATACTGCAATTATACAATTGTGTTAAGGCCAGGATCATTTGATCTTGTACTCAAGAATACACTAGTTTTCCTTTGCATCTAAAATATTTACAGTCTTTATCAATTGTCATAATACAACATTTTCTTCATGGTCTAAATCAGGGCTCTCAAACTCCAGGGCATAAAAATGTGCTAAGGGAGAAGTGCAGTGAGCCGGAAACAGGGCCATTGCTAGCATATTACCAGTGAGGACAGGATCATCTTCAGTAAGGGATAGACTTAAATTTCAGAGGGGGCTTACAGGTACACACATTTACAGATGGAGGGAAAAAACATTTTAGGACAGAGGTTAGTTTATCTAATATGAGTTAGGAGATTTATTTCTCCTTATTTAAAAAAAAAAAAAAAAGACGACTGAGACAGTATATTTGTACCCTCTCATCAGGTAGTTAGTGAAGAATATGTGGCTGTCAGGAGGTTGAGTTCTCTCCCATGGAGAATAACTGGAACAGACCTAGCTGACCATAAAATTGATTCACTGTTTGAAATTTGTAGTTAAATCAAGCTCAATACTGTGACTACAAAAGTATGGAAGGGACAAATTAAACTTTTTAAATTTTGAGGAAAACATTGGTCAAGAAATGGTTCTCTACAAGTCACATGTTTGAGATCTGCTCTAAACTGTCTTTCCAATATGTACAAAGGAGTACTGAAAAGTTCTGAACCCAACCTACTTCTGAAAATATGACTAATCATTAAAACATTTTTTAAAATCTTTTATTGATTGGGCTGATAACTTTTAATTCTTTGTATGTGTAAAGAAAATCTGGAAAATTGTTTTGCAGTTGACCCAGTGTCATCATAAATATTTCTCAAAAACAAAATCTATGTTAACAAAAAAATCTGATTCACCTTAAGAAGCTGAATGTTTGATTCTTACTGTATCTGTATCATTACACAAATAAGATTTTAAGTAATTTATAATATTTATATAATTATAATAATTCCTTATATCTCATTTTGGCAAATTATTTGAGGTTCAAATCAATTTTGAATTAGTTAAGCATTTCATATCACAAGGTCTTTCAGATAAGCAATATGTCTTTTGCTTTTCTAGGTCAATTACTGATGTATTACAGTATTGCTAAAAGAGTCGATCAAGCTTTAGATGTGAATGATGAAATTTGGACTCTTGCTTTGGATAAAGGTATTTAACATGCTTATTTGCACACTGGTCATAACAATTTATGGTATTTATGGTGATGGTATTTCTTGACAAATTTTTGAATTGATTCAATCTTTCTTAAATCATAAAATAAAATTTGTCTTGAATGGCTGCTTTTCTAGATCTTTTTGCATTAATAAAGGTGTTCTATCCTTGGGCCTACATTGTTCCTAATTTTCATCAATCTTTCTGATGTCATCAATTATCAACTTGGTATCTATACTGATAACCCATTTACTCCTGTCATAGTAGCAAGTCTGATCAATTTGATATGGTCAAATTAGCAACTGATATAAAAAATGACCTACAATCTGTTGTTAACTAGAGCAAGGAATGACTTGTTAATTTTAACGTTAATGTCTCCAAAACAAAACTGCTCCTTTTTAATGATCTGAGAGAACCATTTTGCCTTTCATCAGCATGGCTGATTCTAACCTCCAGGAGAGTGACTCCTTGCAACTTCTTGGGCTTATGATTTCTACTGACATGAAGTGGAAAGATTATATTGAATCAGTTGATAGGTCTACTTTTTGGAATGTTGTTTCACTGTTATGACAGACAGTTTTTCTCACCATAGTCTATCTTACATATTTATAAGTCTGCCATTTGTCCAGGCTTTGAATATTGCTGTCACAGTTGGTTTGGGAAATTCTAAAAACAGGTCCTTTCAAAAATATTTTATTACAAAATTCTTATTTTAAATGCATAGATGATTCTCTATTAATATATCTACAAGACATTAACATCAAACACCCAATAGATTTTACCTTTGATTCTGAGTTGAACAACACTTTACTCTTTGTGACACATAGAACTAATGATGACTTTCAGTTAGAGGTTTACAAAAAATCTACCAACAAGAATTACTTTATCAATTTCTATTGTCACCATTATTAAAAGATAAAATCTGGAATAATTACAGGATTCTATTTAAGAGCACTAAGAATCTGCAGCCCACAATACTTACCTGAAGAAGAAATATACATAGGAAACACTTTCAAAAACCTACAATGTCCTCATTATTTCATTCACAATGCTAAGAGAAAGGTATACAAAATATACAGCCACAAAATGATAACATTATTAATGACAATGGCAATAAACTAGATAAAAATAGACATAAAATACTACCTACTAACTCTCTACTGTCTACTATTCAAAACAATTTATCCACTCTTAACAATATCAAAATAAATATAACCACATCCAAAATTATGAATATGATCAGAACCAAAAATCATAATAATTCTGAAGCAGGTAGTTATAAAGTAAGTCATACCTGCTCCTCACAATACATTGGGGTAACTTGCAGAAATTTAAAAAATATATCTATGAACGCAAAAAGGATCTTATACACAACAATTTATCAAATGCATTAGTCATACATAGAAATCAATTCAACTACTACTTCAATCACTGGAACACCACACTTATTAGTAGAGAAAGTAACTTACTTAGACCCAAAATTGAGTGCTGTTACCAAATTCTTGTGACACAAAAACGAACGCCTTCTTGCGCACCTGAAACGAATGCCTTCTCGCGAACCTGAAACGAATACGACACAAAAATGAATGCCTTCTTGTAAACGAACACTTTACGACAGCAAACAAGCAAAACGGCACCCAAGACTGCTGCCAACGGATGATCGACCGCAACGGCTTTTATCGCCCAAGAAAAGACACCAAACGACTCGCACGTCTTCTTCTTTTTGGTACTCCAAGGTGTGCCCAGCGACAACACACACACGCAGTTTGAGGACGTTTCCGCGCATGCTCGTTACACACCTCCTTGATCTCTAGATCACACAAATGGCAATGTGGGGCAGGCCGTTTCTGCCTGGTGCTCTGTCTCAGTGGTATAGTCTCAAGCGCTTCCTCAGTGGTGGTCTCTTCAGACGTCTCACTGAGCACATCCCGCATAGACGCACATCTTTTATGTGGTGCGGTATTCCATCAACAGAGACGTAGTGTGGGCTATTAATTTGTGTCACCGTACCCTTGTTGAACTGTGTCGTACACCTTCCATGCGGATTTTTCACCCAGACAGACTCTCCTACCGTATAAGGATTGGCAACTTTGTCGTCATGCACCAAAGCTACATCGATACCCTTAATGCGGACCCTGTAAGTGTAGGTTGCATTCGCCGGTGCAGTTGAAGCTGTTTTATTGTCCTTTGGGGTAACATTGTGCCAATATACAGCTTCCAAAACTGAACACCGTGTTCTCGTCGCAATGCGCTTTATTGTACGATGAGATCTCTCAACTATCCCATTCCCAGATGGTACGTGGGCACAGCGAAATCATATTTGTACATTCCACATCTTTGCAAACGCGGCAAACCTCTCTCCACAAAATGCTGTGCCATTATTCGTAAGCAGCTCAACCGGCGGCCCTCTTTCACAAAACACTACTTCCAGCTCCTTGATGATGCTAGCAGAGTCTTGGCAGTGCAAGGGCTTCCAAATGGCAAAACGACTGGGGCCGCAGTCTATCAGCGTCAGGTAAAATTGATGTCCGAAATGGGTTACATCCATCGCAACCCTGTGCCAATTTTCCGCGACATCAAGCCTGCCCAGTTTCCAACGCACAGGGGCCAGGTCGATTGACTGGCATTCCTTGCATCCCCTAACCACTGCTCGCACCTCAGATTTTGTTACTCTTGGGTCGATCAACTTCACAAAATAGTGTTCTCTTCACACCAGGATGTCCGCTGGATTGATGAATGGCTCGTACTTGAGCAACATCTCGCTCTTCAGCCACAGCACACATAGGTTCTCTGGGTTCTGTTATTTTGGGCTTTTCATTTAACCATCGATGCGGTACTCTAGTAAGTTGGTCAGCTCGATTGTTGCACGACTTGACAAACTCTACATCAATGTCCAGCTTGTATTCTAAGGCCAACTCTTGTAGTGTGGCTAGTCGACGTCTGATTAGCATCTTGGAGGCTGTCTTGGTGTGCACTCTCGTCCATCCGGACAGTGTCAGCTACCCAGCGATACACTCATGCTGAGTCTGTCCATAAATGAATGGTTTTGGCTTTCAATTGTAATGCAAGATTGACACCTCGCAACACAGCATCAAGCTCTGCTAAGTTGATGTGTTTGTCTTCATGCACCAGTCGGAGCCAGCTTGTGTCTTCTGCCATGGCGCCATTGCTCTCCACAACCACACCGGTGGCTAAGGAGCTTGCATATACCCACACGGTTACATTTTGCTCACTGATGCACCAGTCACCTTTCACACTGGATCGTCCTGGGCTAGTCTCTTTAAAATGTCGTCGATCATCTGAGCTAGAAAAGGGTCCTGCACTTCATCGTCCCATCCAGTGGTAACAGTGTTTGCCCTCCGCTTCACAAATGCTGTGGCGACACGTAACCAACCGCATACAGGAAAATGACCAGTCAACTTCCCGCACAATGAGAAGACAATTCGGCGGGTAAGTTTATCGGGGACTACCGGAAGTTCACATCCATGACACCATCACAGTTTTCCTTGCTCCTCCCAGACATGCAATCCCAGTACGCGTGTGCCAATTCTTAGCCGCTCCGGGGTCTTACTTGACAGACCAAACTGCTCCAAATGTTCCTTGACACAGACCACAGAACACACACTCTGATTAACAAAAACATCATCAATATAAGAGGAGGAGGCTGCGTTGATGATCTGGCTCAAGATGGTATTAACAATGGCTTGCATGATTAAAGGGGCAACATTGAGCCTAAATCCTAAGCGGGTTAGACAATACCTTTGTCCCTTAATCTCCACTGTTTGGAATGGCCAAAGGAACTTGTCGATGTGAACCTGCAGCATTTGGTCCTTGCTGACACCGTTCCTGTAATTTTTGCGAACAAACATCTGCGTTGGCCGTATACAATCAACGCGTACTCATTGAGTTCCTATAGTCCATAACGGGGCGAACCTTCTGTTTGTTTTCCTGCAGAATGGCCATGAGGGGATTAAACCCTTTGGGGTCCGAGTTCTTCCTCTGGGTAAGGAAGCAGCCGTTATCTATCCAAATCTGGAGTTCCCGATCATACTCCTCCCGAATTTGTGCGGGAGCCGGATATTCTGCCAGTCTATTTCTTAACGCATACCGGAGGTTGGTTGCCAGCCCATTTCAAGATGCGGTCCACCTCCGAAAGTGGTCTCATCAAATTCTACTTTAAAGTCAGGCTCGGTAATGGTGATGGCAGCAACGACTGGTTCGACACACTGCGGAAACTTCACCTCACCGGTGCCTGTTACAAATATTCCTCCCAACTGTTTGATGGCGTCTAGTCCGAGCAAGAAGTCAAATCCTACGACTAGGGCTTCCATAGCAATGGACGGCTTTGCACCAACGCTAACTTGTACCACTCCGATTTCACAGCAGTCAGCTGCACCTCAGTCTACTGCAATTTTTGATTTTCTACTGTTGATTTTCTTGTCCATGCACGACAGCATGACTTGTGGACTAGTAACTGTGTGCATACTGTATCCACCAGAGCTATACGTGGTATTCCATTGATACGAACTGTCACTACAGGCAATGCGCCATTTACAAGGGTTTTGGGGAGGAGATTGGCGCTGAATTCTCGACCCCTTGCCCGTTTCCCAGACAACACCGAGCAATGTGCCCTTGCCGATGACATCGATAGCAAGTGATGCTCCGTCGGTGCTTGGTACCAGCACCTTTGGATGGTTCACGACCCAGGAGACAATCGCTCGTCCTATGATTGGGTCCATCACATTTATAGCACCTCGTGTGCACATCTGTTTCCTTCAACTGTGCAGCCACTGTGGCCTGATCCGTAGGACCAGTGCACTTCTTCAAAATAGCGCAAACTCGTGCCAACACATGTGACAAATCCAGGTCTTCCATCTGGGATGGCGCTCAAAAACGAACGCCTTCTCGCGACCCTGAAACGAACGCCTTCTCGTGAACCTGAAACGAATGCGACACAAAAACGAACACCTTCTTGTGAACGAACACTTTACGACAGCAAACTAGCAAAATGTCACCCAAGACTGCTATATAGGAGTTGACAGGCCGTTAAATCCAACATCCATCCATCCCAAGACTGCTACCAACGGACGACCGACCACAATGGCTTTTGTCGCCCAAGAAAAGACGCCAAACGACTCACACGTCTTCTTCTTGTAGTCCTCGGTCAAGTCCAACTCCAAGGTGTGCCCGGCAACAAAACACACACGCAGTTCGAGGACGTTTCCGCACATGCTCGTTACATGAAAAATAAAAATGTTTTTTGCATACGAAATAAAAGGTTTATGCAGTTTTTCATACAGAAAAAAAATTAACCTTTCCCACTTTGATTTCTATAGTGACACTGCCTATCAAAGCTAATTCTGGAACAAAATTTAAATTGGGAGTTTTCTTTGGCAGCAAGTCATGTGGGCTTTGGCAGTATGGTCATCTTTCACCTGTTCTCTCCTGAACTGCTGCAACTCTACACCATTTGATCACTTCACGGCTCGGCTTATGTTGACCTCTGCCCAAGACCAACATGTTTAGGGATTTAAGGTTTCCCCCAGCCTTCCAACAATTCTTTGTTGTCTGACTTTTGAAAATTAATTATCTCAATATATGCAAATACACTCAACCTTGGATGTCATCACAGGTACAGTGGACAATTGAAGAATGTCATCATAAAACTCATCACAATTTCGCCATGAATGGAGTCACACCAAGAAAAAATCCTTCACTATCTCAGCATGAACTCCTCCCTTAAAAACTACCAAACCTAAGAGCTTTTAGCCTCATCCATTCCTTCTATACTCCTTCCCTTTTGGTATAACCTTGGCATTTCTCAAACTCGGTTAAGAGTAATTCCTCAAAACACATCTCTCATACAAATATTAGGTTGTAAAGAGAATTTTAGATTTGTTTACATTTTTCTTGTACCATGGTGGCTCAATGAGTTACAAAGAAAAAATTTACTAATGCTTTAAAAATGCATAAAAAGTTTATTTATATATGGAAATTAATCTTTCTTTTAATTCAGATTAGCTCTAGACCTTTGTCTTTCAAATAGAACTGAAATTTAAGTTCAAAGAAGGCATCTAAATTTTTTTTTTTATAGATCTTTGCCTCAATGACTCACTTTCTACTGTCAGACAAAATGCTCCATTCATACTTGACATTCACTCACTAGTGTTCTCCCATCTTCCTTTGTACACATGACAATGGGCATGCCTCCTCCTCCTCCTTCTTTGTGATTTTGTTCCTCCCACAATGCTTAACAATTACTACTGGATCTCTGCCAACAAACTTCTGCATAACAAGAATTTTTTTCAATTTCACAGCTGGGTGATCTGTGTTTATTTTCATTTTAATATGAATATTCTGAATATTCTTCTGTTGCTTCAATCTCTCAACCATCTTTGTAATATTTTTTCCCTCACAACTATAGCATAGTGTCTAACTGCATTCTCTCATGAAGTGACACACTATCTCTTAGCCATTGTCACTTTCCTTCCTAGTCACTGGGGTAGCCCTTGGTAATTTAAATTCTTCTTGGGTGATCCCTTAGTTTTCGCCTCTTACTGGGGGGGGGGTCCTTCCTTTCATGAGTGGTGGTAACCTTCTCCCATCCCAGCCTCTGCCTGCATACATGCACTGTCCACACCAACCTCCCACAGTTGGGTTTATCCCAATCTGCTGCTTCCTGGGTCAACCCTCAATTTCTGGGACAGACCTATGTCCATTTCTATTACACACAAACCACACCAACCTGTTCCTGGGGTGGCGATGTACCCACCATCCCACAACGACCAACTCTCCCTATTGGTGACCTCTCTTTCCTAATCTTTTATGTTCACTGCAGCAATGCAATGGGTCCTCTCTTCTTAACTCCCCAGTACTTTCACCTCCCCCTACCTACATCTTCCATTTAACTGAAGATTTTGGAGAGAGTCAATAACATAATCTATCAGCTAAAACTGGAAGGTAAGATTGGATCTATGATGTGGATCTGAGAAGCTATTTCCACTAATGTTTTGATCTTTCCTTACTTCTGCTTAACCCCTGACAATATTTGCATTGGTTCTGTGGGGCTGACCAGGCCACTGAATTGGCTACTAAGTGCAGATTGCAACTCCACACAGGCAATCTGTCTGGAATCTCTCTTCTGAAAGAAAGAAAACAAAATTGGAAACTTTACCCTTGGTATAATTAAACTTATCAGCTCTGCCATCAAAATGCAACAGCTTTGAAACTTGTGACTCCTCATCCTTTTTGACAAAATTCTACTTAGTTTATGAACATAACTGTGTTTTTTTTTGGGGGGGGGGCTAAGGAAAGCAAAATCAATCTGAAGAGAATCCTCAACTGTACATGGCCAAACAAAGAAAAGAAGCTATGAAAAATTAATTTTCAACTTACCTTTTCTGCTCACCTCATCTTATTTGTGGCTATCATTGTTTTTGCTGATTTTATTTGCATCTATTCTGGTTTTTGTTGGGAAACTTATTTTTTTTTTATTCAAACTTAATTGAACAAAAGTTTCTTAGTAGGCCTCCTGTCTTGAGGTCTATTTTTCTGACTGGGTTCTTTTCCTGATGTCCTCAGTTGAACCCTTGTTATTGACTTTTTTTTTTCTTTTTTTTTTTTTCTGGATAAGGTCATACAACTATTTTATTGCATTTTAAAATAACTTAGCTGATGATAACCATGTCAATCTTTTATGTATGACTGATTTATACAGAAATAATATTGTAATTTTTTTTTTTTTTTTTTTAGTAATTTACTAGCAACACTGTCAGCCAGTTTTGCTTTTTAAACTTAGATCTGGGTTTTTCAATTCCTATCCATGTTGAAATTTAATGAAATCTGTTTTTTCAGTTTGTCTTTTTTTTTTTTAATACTTAAATCTGGGGGTGTCAAATGCCAGAAAGAAAACTACATGAAAAAGTGACCATCGAAACATAATTTCCCTATCCTATACTTTCTAGTAAAATTTTATAAGTTTGAGTCTTTTATGGCACAACTTCCAATCAGGACAACCTTGACTAAATTATGCCAAAAGTTCAAAATAAAATCTTATAAAAATTCCCCAGGAATTATTTGATTGAAAAGTGGTTATGATGTGCAATTTTCTTCTCATGAAAGATTTGATTGGCAATTTTTTTTTCCGAATGTAGGAAAAAAAATTGCCAAAGTTTTTACTAAAAAAAACAGTTTGTAATTTATGTCTATTAAATAAATAACAAATGTTTCAATATCACATGGATCAAAATATATGACAATAGCAATCAAAATAAGTTTTGTAAAATATTCTATGTTTTTTTTTAACTAAAAGAACAATTTTTGCTTACAAAAAAAAAAAAATGACAGTTCAAGTGTTGCTGGCACAGAAATTACTCATTTTATACCTCCTGGATAAAAATAACCTTTTTCTAGCTATTCGGCATTAAATTTTCAACATTTTATTGAATGTTTTCATTTATACAAAAGAGAAAGAATGAAAAACAATAACCAGAAAATGATAATTTCTTTTTATTAAATATTTTCATAAAAAAATAATTGTAAATTTGTCATTTATTTTTAAAAAAAATTTGAAATAATAATCTTTAATTCCCAAGGGAATAAATAATTTTACACAGTGAGATTTGATGTCATGAATTGATTCAGTTGTCATTGATAATTTTAAATTGCTTTTGGAGATTGTAAAATATCTTTTGAATTATAAAATGTATCTTTATTAGAAATAAAATTTAAATCTCTGGATTAAACAAAAATAAAAATTCAAAACATAACTGTCATATTCTAAATGTTTACATAAAAAGTTTTGTTCAATATGAAAATCTTGCTTAATTTGATTTTTCTCAAAATTAAATTAGGAAAATATAAAATTGAAAATGTACATTTTAAAATATGACAAAACTGAACAAGTCATTGCTTAGACAATAAAAACCATGGATGCATTGAATCCTAAATTCAATGGATCCATCTGATTTGATGATTATAGATTTTAAGTACATTCCTAAAATTTATTTATTTATTTATGCAGATTACAAATTAGAGCACCAGTAAGTATTAATATTACAGAAGAATATATTTTTATTCATATAGTCACTGTGATTCCCAAGGAGTCAAAATTAAGCACCTTTTTTTAAAAAGTAGTTAATAGGGTCCTATTAAAATGTTATAACAAACTGTAATATTTTACAAATATTTGATCTCAATGTTTTATTCAGTGGTAATATTAAAAAAAAATATTTAGGCAAGAAAAATAAATTTGTTAACACTAATTCATGTTATGATAGAAGCATCTGTAAAAGTCAGCTGCAGAGGTTAGAAAGATTCATTTAAATCAAACAAATTGTGCAGAAAAGTTTTTCCACAATATTATTTACCCAACAATTACGTTGAACTCTTCCAACTGAAGAGTAAAATTCTAATGCAGCTTCATAAGAAAAGCTAAATTTTAATGAGGTCAGTAGATCTATTCCATACAATGTTTTCTAATAAAGGATATGTATTTTTCTGAGGCCATAACCAAACAAAGATGCTATTCTGGTTACAATAAAATCTAGAGTAATAAATAAAAATCACAAGCCTGATTTGATAGGCCAAGAAATCAATTTGAATTCTTATTCACACACTGCTCAATTCCTGTTTTTTTTAAGAGATTTTCATCAAATGAATCAATAATTGTAGTCTTTTCTTATTTGGCTTTATTCATTTGTAGCTCATAAACATTCATTTCATAGGGTAGACATATTTTTTTTTTTTTTGTTCATTGTGGAATATTAACTTATAAGCCATGGTGGAGATTACAGTAAGATTTCTATTAACAACGGAAGTTTATTTTATTTAGTGCACACTTTTTTTTGTGTGTGTGTGTTATATATATATATATATGGTGTAGATGTTGCCATTATGGTAATTTTATGACCATAATGGTAACATTTTACACTCAAACTAATGATGTTAGTATGGGAAATCCGCTTGGCCTATACTTCTCCAATTATTACATGTCCCATGTAGAAAACATATATAAAGAGGTCTGTAAACCTGAAATATATGTCCACTACATAGATGGTATTTTTAAAAAAAAACTCTGTCCTTAACTTTATCTACGAACTTAGTCAAAAAATAAACTGACATTCTCGTAGATTTTACCACCTCATTGTATAAAAATACTCACTAGCAGAAACTCTTGCCACTTTAATTTTAAGAGTGAATGCCCACTCAGATACAAAATAGCAGTGATAAAAAAAAAAAACTTCCTAAAAAGAGCACACCAGAATTCATCCTCTCGTCTACTTTTCCTTAAAGAACTAATCAATGCAAAACAGAGACTCATTAACAATGACTTCCCTAACCACCTTATTGACTACCAAATTAGACTATTTCTTTCAAAAGTAAATAATAATGATAGTGATCACACAGTCAAAAATAACAAATATTTTCTATAAAAGCTAAATGCACATCAACTACAAACAAGATGAATTTTCACTTAAAAATATCATAAAGAAACACACTACTCCAATTGACCAGAATAAAAAAAATCAAATTATCTACTACAAAAAATTTAAAACAGCTAACCTTATCTTCAAAAATAACAAAACAGAAGAAAAAAAAAAAAAATCAAAATTAGAGAATAGACGCCACCTGAAAAATACTAGTAGAAAATGTGCTGTGTTTTGAAAATAAAACATCCTACACCTCTAGAAACATACACACAACCCATACAACTAGTTAAAAAGCAAAAATAAAATTGTCTTGATAATGGCTAAAAGTATAGCCAAAAGTGTTTGGAATTACAGGACATTTGATCACAGTACCTTGTCTGTCATCTTTAATGAAACATGTATAAATGAGGAATTGCTGCCTAAATACACTATATATATATATATATATATATATATATATATATATATATATACACACACACTTTTTTCTTTCAGAATATTAAAAAAGTAAAAAAATATTTATCTTTTTAAAAATGTTAAGGCAAAAATGATATATAAACGGAGTTTTTAACAAATAATTGTAGTTTAAAAGTTATTTATATGAGAAAATTGTGAAACTTTGTAATTGAACCTTTTATATATAAAAGCAGAGAAAACAATGTGTATATTGTGTAAACATGTGAAGAAGTAGAAAAAAATGGAGAATCAATTGAAATGTTTTTAATTGTAGAATATTCAAGATGTAAGGTAACATCTGTGAAAAAACAACCCTAAAAATATGAAGCCTAGACTGTGGGTTACTATGCTAATCTGAATTCATTGATTGATGAAAGAAGCCTAATGTTTGGGAGCTGGTAGCAATAAGGATTATAATAAAAAAAAAATTAAAAAATGAGAATGGATTACAAGCATTAATCATTACAAAAAAAAGAAAACAAAAAAGGGGTTGTATTGGAAAATTGTGTATACAAAGAAAGCATTCATTTTGATTCAGTTATACAATTTTTGGCTTCTGCATCAATATTGCAGACAAAATTTTCCCTTCAATTAAGAATTGTGTCCTTTATTTAAATTAATTGTACATTAATTTAACATGAACTTACTTCTGGTCGAAAATACCATGAAATTATTGAATTGTAAAGGGAAAAATGAACTGTTTCTTTCGATTTGTTAAAAAATAAAAATGCATATTAAAAAAAATTGGTAAAAGATTTATAGAGAAATGATTTTAATGAGGAATTAGTTGATGAAATTGCATGTGAAATGCAGGCAGAATAATAAAAAACAATTTAATAATAATAATTTGTTGATTTTTTTAAAAACTTTATGGCAAATCTTTTTTGTGTTGTGTGTGTGCACATAATAGAACACATGATGCAAGTAGATCACCTGGATAATCTTTTTTACAAAAAATTAAAACTATATTCTGCTCTCTGCCGATACTGATTCTCCAAGTGGAACAGGTTTCCAATTTTCTA